TTTAAAACTTTTTATCTCTTTTTCGTTTTGGTAGATTTTCAAATTTAGTATAGAGCATTTCTAGCTAGGTTGATATTCACTCTAAATTATCCTTGTGATTGAAAATTAGAGGGTAAAACCTTTGCAAACGGATTTTTGCCTTTTTTAAATTTGTCATTTTTGAGCTGGAATTAATAAGGAACGTGGGAGAAACTAAAATTGTTATGTCCACCAAAACGGTGTGAAATATTAATTTTTAAAATCATCCAAAATCCCATACAATTTATGCAAAGATGCAAAGCCATAATTGATAGCTAGACAACCAGATCAAGCGAAGATGAACGGATTGATAGATATATAAAAAGACAGACTGATAATCTAACATAAAATAAAATAGAAAACCCATGCAAGAAATACTGTCTATGGCTTACGCTGTACATTAGATGTATAGATATATATTTATTACATAGCAGTGTTATGCAACAACATAAATGTAGTAGAAACATAAACATGCACATTGATTAGCATGCTATGTTTGAGGTAGTTCATTCAGGATATAATATTTTCATTATTCTATAATTTTTAAAGTTGGACATACACCTACTTGCAAGAACGTTGACATACGAAAATAGAACATTAGTGGTTTAGTGGGATAGGAATTATATTAAAGACCCATTGCCACTTACCGTGATGCATCACAATTTGTTTACATTTTGAATCGTGTCACCACTGAAAAAACAATTCTAACCTTTTGAATAAACTCTTAAAGGAATGTAAAAGAATTAATTTGTGCCTTAGTGCTATGTCGGAAAAGCATTTAATATGAATTTATCATTCAATTTATGAATCTTTGAATTTCATGGACCATTCTTGCAAGTAGGTCTATGTCTTAATTACTGTTTTGTTCTTTGTGTTATTACAGGGGGCTAACAGGTACCAAGAAGGTCCCATTCAGGAAGTGGTATGGTTGCTTAGGAGAATTACATTCTTTGATTCCCAAAGATACTAAATCAGTGATCCTAACAGCAACTGCCACCAAGGCAACCAAGGAACAAATAATGGAAACCCTGAACCTGTCACCAAAGGATGTGCAAATGATCCAGCAGAGTCCTGACAGGCCAAATTTATTTTATTCTACACAATATGTAGATAAAAATGAGCCATTGGAGATTGTGTTTGGGTGGCTTATTAATGAAGTTGATGATATGGGTGCAAACACGCCAAGAACATTAATATACTGTCAAACACGAAAGCAGTGTTCAGTTCTGTACCGAATGTTTGAAGTTTTTTTGGGTCTGAAGATGTACAGTGGTGGAGTAACCAATCCACAAAAAAGACTGGTTGAAATGTTTCATGCTGGCACCCCTAAAAGAGTTAAGGAACACATAATCGAAAATATGGCAAAGGATGATGGACATTTACGAGTTGTCATTTGTACTGTTGCCTTCGGCATGGGTATCAATTGCAGGAAGGTTAGACAGATTGTGCATTTTGGACCATCGAAGACAGTGGAACAGTATGTTCCAGAGTGTGGGCGTGCTGGACGGGATGGACTTCCAAGCTCTTGCATCCTGCTGTTCAATGGACTACTGTCAGCACACTGTGATAGGGATATGAAGGCTTATGTCCAACAAGAAGGATGCTCGAGTATATGGTTAATGAGCCATCTTGAAAGTAAAGTGGCAAGTAACAGTTTACTTCACAAATGCTGTGGACAATGTGCAATGAAATGCAGGTGTAGTGACAAGGATTGCAGGGTGCTTTGGAGTCCCAATTTGAATGGAGATACAACAAAAAAGTCACCAGTCCAGAAATTAATGACCACCATYAATGCACATGCTCATCATGAAAGAGCCAAATTTACAAGAGTTGTCAGTGAACAACAAAGGGAGAAACTGAGATTGGAACTTCATTGCTTCCAGCGAGAAATGATGAAGGAGGTACAAGTGGAYACTATGGTGACATGTCCCAATGTACTCATGGAGTTTAATTCTTTCCATATTAATCAAGTGATTGAACACTGCAGCATTCTTTTTACCATCCAAGATGTTGTAGAGTTGGTAGAAATATGGAGAATGAAATATGCCACTGCCATTCTCACAGCTTTAGACAAAGTCTTCAGTGATATAGATGCTGCTGAAATACAAATGGATGTGTTTCCACCTGAAATGTCAAATTATTCTGACTGGAGTCAAGTCAGGGATGACACCACAYTGGTAGGGATGTTGAACAGCCAAGATTTAGAGGATCTAAGTTCTTTTAACACATGTATGGACACAGCAGACAGTACTTTTTTAGATACTTCTTATCAGAGTTTGAGTACTGCTTAGAGCTTTTATCCATAAGTTAAATCTCTCTTACCCATTTCTTTTTTTCATTTGAAAAAAGCAAAGTTTATCACAAACGTGTTTATACCATACTCTAACAACATATTGTCCTGGTTTTGAGATATTTTCCTCATAAGGACAGTCCCCTCTCTAAATGTGCATATATTATGCAATAATATGAACATTTGCAAAACCTAAGTTTAGATTTGAGTAGCATGTGAAATAGCTTTTTAACCCTGGATTCATCAAAAACTACAAAAAGGTAAAAGCTTTGGAATACACGTAGTTAAACACTGAGTGACATCACTATTTCTACAACATTTCTTTTAGAAACAGATTTCAGAAATGAAGTTATTTATCTTAGCAAAATAAGAAAATTAAGTTAAACATTGAGTGACATCACTATTTTTAAAACATTTCTTTAAGAAACAGATTTCTGAAATGAAGTCATTTATCTTAGCAATCCCAAGAGATGTCTTATCGATAATTCATGATGCATTATTCCATGAGAAACTTCGTGTCAATTTTATATGATTTTTTCCAATGAGAATGAAACTATCTGAAGGATTCAAACTCAAATTGTCAGATTTTGCCAGAGCATTTTTCATATTTCAAAAAAGGTTGTCAAGAGCTTCTTGTAACATCTATATTCTATAGAAGGCAGAAAAAAGGAAAAAGTAAGATAATGTGCTTATTCCAGAATAAATGAGCTCCGATGAAAGTGCCTGGAGTAAGGATGAAGCTGGGCCCAAAATTAAGGGCTTTTTAACAAAAAAACTACCTTGGGAGAGATCAAGGTTAACGAAGTGTAATGAGGATCTTGATCTGGGTAAGCTAAAAAGCGTATCTAATAGATGTAGAAGTCAGTTGCTAAAGCGTTTACCCCATCCTGTGAATTCCTGCAAGCCTAGGACAACTATCCCAAAGGATTGGGCTGTTAGAACTAACAGCTACAGTAAGTGACCTTCTTACAACGTCTTTAAGTGTATACACTCAATTGAATGTATATTGTATATTGCCCAATGGAATGGACAATTTTTATATTGTTTACAGTTCGCTTTTTTCTAAGGTTATGAAAAATTTGGGTGGGTTTTTTTCCCCTTTTTCTTGCTTCTTCTTTTCTTGATTCGTAAGAAGAGCTCCTCTATTATGGGCAAGATTATTGACATCTGCACGACCCATAAGGAAACCTTGGGATCAGTTCTAGCCCAGTGCTGCTTAAATGACTCCAGAAATAAACCTTCTATTGCCCGAGAAACCAATCCAAGGTTATTGACGAAGTATCTGAGAAGAAGGGGGTAAAGCGAGCTTTTATTGAACTTATTTCCGATGACGCCTGGGATCAGAGAGTTTCGGAAGTGAGAGTACCAGATTGGCAGTGCTTGCTTCTAAAATTGGAAACCAAGAATTTTTATGCAAGTTGGCAATCTGTTATCAATACTACAAGACTGGGAAGGAAAGTAAGTGAAATTATCTCTTTCTGTATCTAAGAACAGGAACAATAATAACTATATGTTTAATATACTTTATAAGCTGTCCTTGTGAGTCCTAGATTCGTTTTCTTGTTTTCGCTCATATCTGAAATTTTTTGGTAGTGAACTTTTTACTTATAAACTTCAAAGGGTAGCTAATTAGTTTCTACATCTCGTCAATTTTCCTCTTATAGTACACTCAACAAAATTACTMGACTCTGATTGGTCGAGAGGAGTACAATTAGAGCGTTAATTGTACTCCGTAGGAGTACCGAATTAAGTCGCTATGGCAACACGGCCAAAACAATGTCAAAACAATTATTTGTTATCATTTTGTACTTAAAAAACATATAAATAAAATTTTAAAGCTGTAAGAACTAATCTTTTTTATGCAYTTCAGTTGCGCGATGGACTGARAATCGGCCGCCAAATAAACAAAGATGAACGGCGTTGCTTCGCATTTTTTACAGTAATTTTGTTGAGTGAACTATAAACAAAAAATCACACGATGTCCTCCGAGATCGTGCGATTTCCTAAACTAATTTTTATTCCATTCCTTGATACTGTAAACCATATATATCTTGAGATGAGTAAATAAAAAAATGAAAAAAACAAATTAAATCTATTAATAGCTGAATGACCATAAGCACTTGTTAAAACAGTAAATTGTATCGAAATAGTTTGTGATTAATAATAATATGGCTTTTCCAAAAAATGATTTCAGGGAATGTCAAATGTATTAATTTTGCCAATCAAGAAACACATGAAAGCCTTGCGTGCTGTTGTCTTTGGGGCTGTCAGAAGTATCATGGAAATCAAGGAAATACCAGATCTAGTAGTTAATGGATTTCGAGTAAATCTCCAACAGATATTGTATGGAGTGTTCGAGAACAGAGGCTCCATGGCTGCTCAAAAGGTGGCGTTGTGGAATTTCTCCTGAAATTAGATGGACGTCCACTTTTTGGTAATTTCATTAGCCTATTTCAATAGACCCACTCTGCTTCAACTAACGTTTTGCCTTTTCAGATCATGTCATTCTCTTGGGAATAAGATTGTTTGTTCGAATCATATCTATATTCATGTCTTCTTGTGCGCAACCCTTAAACAAAAAACGATGCTCTAGGGAATGGCACGTGGTCTGAAATGGCAAAACATTACATCCAAGCTGAAGAGGTCTTTTTAGATCTGAAAAGCCTATAATGAGTTTTTAGTGTAGTTTTCTTTGTCTTAGGTTTGTTTATAAGTGTTCCATAGCTTTTGTTTCACCCGTTTCAGTCTAAATATTTTCGTCA